AAATTTCTAGAACCCAGGACCAACTGGGGGCCTCAAGGCAGCCCCCAGACCCCTTGCCTACTTTTGGCGCCCCCTCTAACTTCAATTCCTGGATCCGCGCTTGTCATTGCTCATATTACATGTACGTCTAGTTTCTCTTTCAATTTGGGCGTTGGGGTTAATTTCCTGTCCAAAGTAAAATTATCATTCAATTTATGAAGTTTCGACATCCCGCCTGAAAAAAAATTTCTTGATCTGTCCTTAGGCATAATAAATGGTACAGCAAAAAGTGCGTAGGAATTTATACCTATCATTGCCCCAACGGGTGGTTACAGAGAGAGAGAGAGAGAGAGAGAGAGAGAGAGAGAGAGAGAGAGAGAGTTCAATATACAAAAGAATAAATAATAATTATCCGTATTCAACCAGTGTCAAGTATCCCTACCCTAGCTTTTAAAATTATCTCCCAAATTCACCTAAAGAAATTTTTTGTATATATAAAAAATACCTAGACTATCAGGTAGGGATACTGAAATCTCGAAATACTTCTGCGACAACATAATTATAAAACAGTTACATTCCTTAAAATGCACATACTTTGTGGTCGGAGCGACACATTTAAAAAAAAATCTCAAAACTGAATTCGGCAGAAATGTATGTCTTCCAAGAATATTTAAATAACGGTCATGTCAATTATTTTTGTATGCCCCCCCCCCCCCGTCCAAAAAATCAAATGCCTAAATGTCAATCTGAACAGGAGATGGCCTTTCTCCGTGTGTGTATGTGTTAAAGAATGTATAGATGTACACATAAAAATTTGTATTCAGGTTAATTAATTGCTTTTAAGAATTGAAGTAAATTATTGCCGTACATCAAATTACCTGGTTTAGATTTGAGATTAGTACTAAAATAATCGGTTATAATTGATAAATGAATTTTGCGACGCAAACCAACCGCAGACTATATATATGACTTTGTATAGAATGTATATTAGAACTACATGAAGATAAACAATTCACAATTATATATATATAGCTTATGAACATCAGTTATAACCCACCCACCCCCCCTTTCAGCCGCGCAAATACCAAATAACTTCTCTTTCCACTTTTGATATTTTCCCTTACCAAAATCTGATCAGCACGGACTAAGTGTATCGTCGTGATAGTGTGTACGGAGAAATGACAGTGTGTTTACTATTGAGCTTTTATGGAGTTTATTTCTTTTTTGTGATACATATTTCAATAAATGGAGTTCAGGGTGTATTTCACTTGACTTGTGCACATCTTCGAACCATTGCAGTAACCTTATTATATGTACCAGGTATGGGTACGTTTACAGCGTTCGGGGCGTTTTCTCGATATGCATCAGTTGCATAGGACCTGCAAATCAAAGACGTTGGTTGTTTTGTTCCATTTAAATGATATAATTCCAAAATGTGTTTGCAAATTTTACTGCTTTTTATTTCAAGTTTATGCTGCATAAATTGGCGCACTGTAAAAATACGTACTCATGCTTTTAAATTTTCTTTTGATTCCAATCAATAATCATTCAAAATATGATTATTATGTTGTTTATTTTGTTTTTGAAATGTCTTGATCACCTCATGTGTTCTCATATGCTTTACCATCGGAGATGTGCACAAGTCGATACCCAATCCAAAAAATCATTCAAGTGTAACGAGCGCATTGGGGTATACGTCGTTACAATGAGACAAGGTATCTGAAAGAAATATGGCGGAATACGGCTATAGTTGGTATGAAACAAGTCGTACATAGATGAAAATGTTGCGTTTTTAAGAATTCATGTCAGCTTTAATTTACGCAGCATTCCAATACCGCATAGTCATGGCCAGTCTTGATTTTGATAATGAGACGATCTTTTGGAAATCATAACCTTTTGCATTATTTGTGTTTTATTTACATTGTATTTATAAAAATTAATATTTCATCCTTTATTTTTTGGGTCATTCTCAGTATGTGATAATCGGAGGTACGGTCTGGAGTGTTCTTTTATATGTGGTAACTGTAGTGACGGGGTGACATGTAACCATGTCGACGGAACGTGTCTGAATGGATGTGACGTAGGAGTGGAGGGAGAAAAATGTCAGACTGGTGAGGCTTGTCTTTGATATTCTACGGAAATGATTTCAGACCAGTATATTTTAAAAAGTCTACTTTAACATGAATGTCCTGAATTTTGAATCTTTGGCAATTAGAATAAAGTTTAGAAAAATTTTAAAGCCTTTTAATTCACACAACAAAGTACATGGCTTATTTGGATTTAAGACTATTTTTTGGCATTTTTGGTGTAAATAATGTGTATATATGTAAATATCCACGCATGAAACATTAATGATAAACATTGTATAAAACCTTTTATATCGAAAGACTTTCCATCTAAAACAAGGTGTTGTTGTTTTTATAGCCGGCACATCGAATGCAACGATTTTTCATATTTTATTGAAAACAATATCAATGTATTCCAAGTGTTGTGTTCTTGAAATACGCTATATAAAACATTGAATGTAGATCAAAAACATTAAACTGTAAATTCAATATGTATTTTTGATATATTTTGCTAGGTCTCCAATTCCTACTGAAATAAATCTTGAATTATTTCATATCAAAAATAGAGAAATTTTTTTATAGAGCGAAATAGAAACAAAACAATGTTATTTTTTAAATATATTGAGGTAACCTCTATATTCATATTCATTTCAGAATAAATCAGACATTAGTCACCTTATTTATCTAAGTAGTCTGTGTAAAGGAATAAACCTATTGAGACATTTTCAGTTAGATTCATATAGTGTGTATCTAAATTTTGGAATGAATCCACCACCCTTTCCCAATTTTTTTGTGGAAGAATCGCTATAATAAAAGAATTTCCACGTTATATGCTATGTTAAAAACTTTATTTCACTCCAACAGCGTGTCGACCTGGACGATACGGTAAAGACTGCAGAGAAATCTGTAGCGCGAATTGCTTACGTCAAAACCAGTGTAACAGATTTAACGGTGAATGTTACGGCGGGTGTCAAAGAGGATGGAAGCTCCCTAACTGCCAGAAGGGTAAATTATAATAGACAAAAATATATACTCTTAAAAAAAGTCTGATGGTCAGACGATACTTTTCCTCAGATATCTGGGTTTTTTTTTATATGTCCCGATTTCGTAATATTTGTAAAATATTTAAATCATAATTACCTAGCGATTTTTTAACTTGATTTTAATTGTCTACAAAAATTACAACGTAGTATTTTTCCAAAAGGACTATATAGGCAACACCAATACTTTAATGACAAAAATAAAATATTTAGGAACGGATTGTTGTTCCTTTACTCCTGTAACAATTCTTTTTTATTTATTAATTGTAGTTATATTTTATGTGATATAGCATATAAGGTAGCAAGTAGCATGTAACTTGCACTTACGTTGTAACAATTTTGAAGGAGAAAAGAATATTCCAATAACAAAGAAAACTTGTGATTTGATGTAAACCTTTGTATACAGAGTGTGATGGAGGCCTGTACGGCGTAAACTGTAGCCAAAGCTGTGGTCAGTGTATAGGAGATCAGCAGTGTCATCACATCAACGGCACGTGTTTGAATGGCTGTTCCCCGGGATATATCGGGGATCTCTGTATAAACCGTAAGTATAAACCTAGGGTAGTTTTACATTGATTGTAGAGGGTCATGATAACAAAGAAGGTGGAGTTTGACAAAGTTAATTTGTATGGCTACCTGTAAACGTAGGAAGTTAACTAAGATACCTAGAGGATAGTGGGGAGGGTTGGACTCAATATTTTAGACGCAAGTTTTTATCTACTACTAATAATGTTCATTGAAAGACTGTTTGGGCCCGGTACTGGTTAAATTAAGGGTAGTGAAGTGTATAAGTAACAAATTTAGTTTTGACAGAAGTTAGACCCCTCCTCCAAACAAAATAGGACAAGCAAGGGAAAGCATAAATAAAGCTTCTTTAAAAATTACTAGACATGTTAAAATAACGATTTTTAAAAATAGAATTAAAACATTGTAACATTATATTAGAACGTGCTTTTCAAATATATCCATTTTTTTTTATTTATCATGACCATTATCCAGCATGTGACGACGGACAATGGGGACAGAACTGTCTTCAAAAATGCAGTACAAATTGTGTTAATGAAACGTGTGTACCTGAGACGGGAATATGCTATCAATCAAAGGTATATGTTAAAGTTCATCTACACACTGATAAGAGAGATAACTGTTAATTACATGCATGTACATGTCTATTATTCTTTTATGAATTTGTCAATTTAAAGAGCCTTTTTGTCTAATTTTGCCCCGCAAGCTATGCTATAATTGTTTGTATTTAATTTAACAAATACGTTTCTTTAAGAAAATCATGAGACTTACACAAATATTTTATACAAATTAAATGAGCAGAGGTTTTATGAACCTTTAAAAAAAGTAAAAAAAATGAATAAATTATCTCGTTTAAAGGGTTTGATCTTATTTCAATGTGAATGGTAATTGTAACGCGAATGGTTGTGTTTGGCGTTATGTATGGAAGACCTTACTTAAAGCTGACATGAATTCTTAAAAACGCAACATTTTTATCTATGTACGACTTGTTTCATACCAACTATAGCCGTATTCCGCCATATTTCTTTTAGATAACTTTTCTCATTGTAACGATGTATACCCCAATGCGCTGGTTACACTTGAATAATTTTTTGGATTGGGTATCGACTTGTGCACATCTCCGATGGTAAAGCATATGAGAACACATGAGGTGATCAAGACATTTCAAAAACAAAATAAACAACATAATCATATTTCTGAATGATTATTGATTTTAATCAAAAGAAAAAAAATGCAAGTTTGAAAGAGAAATTTAGATGCATGAGTACGTTTTTTTACAGTGGGCCAATTTATGCAGAATAAACTTAAAATAAAAAGCAGTAAAATTTGCAAACAGATTTTGAAATTATATCATTTGAATGGAACAAAACAACCAACGTCTTTGATTTGCAGGTCCTATGCAACTGATGCATATCGAGAAAATTCCCCGAACGCTGTAAACGTACCCATACCTGGTAATAAGGTCACTGCATCGGTTCGAAGATGTGCACAAGTCAAGTGAAATACACCCTGAACTCCATTTATTGAAATATGCATCACAAAAAAGAAATTAATTCCATAAAAGCTCAATAGTAAAACATACTGTCATTACTTCGTACACACTAGCACGACGATACCCTTAGTCCGTGCTGATCAGGTTTTGGTAAAGGAAAATATCAAAAGTGGAAAGAAAAGTTATTTGGTATTTGCGCGGCTGAAAGAGGGGGATATTATAACTGATGTTCATAAGCTATAATTGTGAATTGTTTATCTTCATGTAGTTCTAATATACATTCTATACAAAGTCATGTATATAGTCTGCGGTTGGTTTGCGTCGCAAAATTCATTTGTCAATTATAACTGATTAGTTTATTACTAATCTCAAATCTAAACCAAGTATTTTGATGTACGGCTATAATTTACGTCAAATCTTAAAAGCAATTAACCTGAATACAAATTTTTATGCATACATCTATACATTCTTTAACACATACACACACGGAGAAAGGCCATCCCCTGTTCAGATTGACATTTAGGCATTTGAATTTTTGGACGGGGAGGGGGGGGGGCATACAAAAATAATTGACATGACCGTTATTTAAATATTCTTGGAAGACATACATTTCTGCCGAATTCAGTTTTGAGATTTTTTAAAAATGTGTCACTCCGACCACAAAGTATGTGCATTTTGAGGAATGTAACTGTTTTATAATTATGTTGTTACAGGAAGTATTTCGAGATTTCAGTATCCCTGCCTGATAGTCTAGGTATTTTTTTTATATATAAATCATTTCTGTAGATGAATTTGGGAGATAATTTTAAAAGCTAGGGTAGGGA